GAGAAGAGGCACGCGAGGTATTTATCAAGAACGGTCACGATTGGATGACTTGGTCAGTTTGGGGGAGGGGGAACATTACTCGGGGTCTCTTCCCCCGAATTGTGGGGCTATTTGCGGGGGTCATCGTCAAGTGACGGTGATGATATTTGAAGGATGGCCCAATATCGCATAGTTCTGATAGACTAGACAACCCCTCTAACTCGTGGGAGAGTATGCTAAGTTAGTTGACTACAGGAACATAAGGTCCGGATTTGCCCAAGGCTCAGAGAATGCGGCTTCCTGATGACTGAGTGACGGCATATGGGCGACTCGCTTGACCTGTCTAGAAGCTTTGCGGTCCAGTTCATGAGCTACTTGGAGCAGAAAGAATGGCTCATTCGATGCTTTGTCATTCATCTGGTCAAATTTGCTGAGCATTCTCACTATCAAGCTCCAATCTGACATGACCGACGGCTGGTCAGGGAACTCGATGATGTTGACCAGCAAAACGATCAGTCCCGAAAGATTGCAGCAAGCATGAAGCCTGGTTACTGTGTCAGTCCGTACATTCTTGACAATCGAGCTCCAACTCACCAGGTCGAATACTCTGTTTCCCTCCCAAACGCTGACAGTTCTAGGCCAAGCCTTGAATGCTCGACGCAATCGGACCATGCACTAGGCAGTGAGCTGATCTCTTTCTGGTTGATCTTACCATCGATACCATCATCTCCAGTCGGAATCACAGTTTGAGAAAGGTAACACCGCGCCCTGTCAATCCATGTCTCATCAAAAGCAAAGGTCCCGTGGATCCTGTAGAGGCATTCGAGGTATCGGTTATACATGTTCATCACAAGATGAACTGAGATTGTCGAGAAATCTTGGAAGAGTTTGTCTGATCGCAGGAGCTCTTGTGGCAATGCACTGCGCCAGTTGGGGAGCATTTGTTCGATACGGACCTTGGTCTCTGCTCGCTGCTCCTGTGATAGTCGTTGAGCTGTCCTGCTGTAAAGGAAGTTGTGCACTTTGCCCTGAATAATCGCCAACTCAGATCGAGCACGTAAGTAGTTGAACCTAATAGTCCCTGTGCATGACTCTAGTATTCCCATATCATCATCTCCAAACTGGTCGGGAAGTTCAAGATCAGTTTCGGCATCGAACTGAGTGTAGGGTGCTTTAGCGCGAAGGGCAAGGTCCTGTGCTCGTGGGTTAGTTGCTGCAGACAGACAAGTCTCATGTGGCAAGGCCATACCTTGTCCAGAATATAGGCTATCCAGAAAACTCGGCGACGTGGCGCTGATTCATCGGGATCGCCGGAAGCTCTTGCTGAAGGAAGTCCTATGCTTTGCGCAAGACGTATGCCACTTCCGATGAGTACTATTGCGAGCTGCGGATTCGTTGTTCCTTGAAATAGTATGACCATGCCGAGTAGAACCTGTAAGCCTAGAATATCGCCACTCCAGGCCATCAACTCGGTCGTGATAGACTGTACGTTACTCATACACTGAGCCAATTTTGGCTGCTTGATCGGCACATCATCCATGATGCGGTATGTCATAGCGAGGACAAGGTTGATGGCAGCCCAGGGGATCAGATCTTTTCTTTCATTCTCAGAGTACCAGTCGACCGTCATTTTCATGAAAGATCCTTTGTCAAACAGAGGCATGTAGCAGCCGTAGCTGTCAAAGTATCTCTCCAGTACGCCCATTACTTCTTGAAGTGGCGGCAGCTCAAGCTTCCCTGTCTGGGCCAATATGGCCCCTGTTGGAAACTGTGGTGAAATGCCAAGGCAAGGTAAAGTCGTGGCTTCGTTCCACATGTCTGAGGCTTTGTACACGCGGATCTCGGGGAAGTTCTGGAAGTTCAAGGCGGTCGCATTTTGAGATGAACTTCCGCATGGCTTCTCGGCGGCGATTTGGTCCAGTCTTTCTTCGATGTGGGCCAAGCGTGACTCTATTGTGTCGTCCCTCATGAATGTCAGTATGGCTATACGTTGAGTTCAAAGGGTGTCTGCATACCTGGAGGGAGTTAACGAAGAGTTTGCTGGGCTAGTTTCTCTGGCAGGCGCTTTTCTTCTACCTGCAGTAGCCAGACTTGTGATTTCAGTGATGCTGCAATCGACACCGTACAGCTTACAGTTCGAACAGGTAGGTTTGGCCAAATCACATTTGATCTTTCTCGATACGCAAAGATCGCAGGCTAAGACTTGTCAGCCTTGAGCTACTTCGGTGATGTCTCTCGTTATGTTTCATACCCTTGCGCCTCCGGGCGTAGCTTACAACCCTCATAATTGATGACGGATGATTGAAGACGTGGAGTAGTGTGAAGACGGAAATTGGGTTTGGTTTGATACGTCACCAACGAGCGTTATTGGTAATCACACCAACTGTTCCTCTTCGGCTCTTCAGCACAGCGGCTGTAGCTAGGTGAAAAACTCCGACGGAAGAAGAACAGGTCTATCACCAATCCTCACAATTGGGTTAGTGGGTGAGAGTGTGCAACAAGAAGCAATCCCTCAGCAGTAGTCATCCAACTGCCGTGTCTCGTTGAGATATTTCGCCACAGCGCATCGAGTCGGCACTATCAAAAACAGTTAGCGTCTCTTACCCACGGAACTCCGCGGCCGAGATATTGATGAGCCGCCATATACCGCGCGCCTACCATCGCTACTCGATACTTTTCAGACCGGCCCATGCAATCTAAGCTTGGTCTGGGGATCATAGGTCTTCCATCTTGCGGTTCGCCGAAGTCACCATAGGCTGAAAAATTAAGGGTAAGTCGCTCCCCCTATCAGAACGACTGTGCTGCTTCGCGGATACTTACTCGAGCAAACCTTTACAGATGGACAACAACACCGAGTCTAAATCCTCCTCTACGTGCAGCCTCCTTACAAACTCCAGTCTCCGTGGTTAAGCGTTATGGTGTAAGCAAGGCCATGACAAGAAGCGCTCCCCGAGATGATATATAATCCAAAGAAGCGACCGCTGTTGCTTCTCACTGTCAGGCTTCACCAAACCGCCACTACCTCCCGCTACAGTCAACTAAAACAACTTTGCACATTGCAGCCATGGCTACTCCTTCGTTCCCTCAACATCATTCTTCAACCTTCTACGATGTCGTCATCATAGGCGGCGCAACAAGCGGCTCAGCTATAGCATGGTTTCTCGTGTCGAACCCTGATTTCAAGGGCAAAGTTCTTGTTGTCGAGAAAGACCCATCTCTTGCCTACTCTGCAACCCAGGCCAGCAATAATTGCATGCGTCAGCAATTTGCGACCGAGATCAATATCAAGATAGCTCAGTATGCTGCCGAATTTGTCAAAGACTTTCGCAAGAACCTCAAGTGCGCAGATGGCGACGGCATTCCGGATATTTCTATCCGCAACTTCGGCTATCTGTATCTCGCGGACACTTCCGAGTTTGCCGCCGTTCTTGAGAAAGATCAAAAGCTTCAGGCTAACTGCGGTTCTGGGACTAAGATTATGTCGGCGGATGAGATAGCCTCCAAGTACCCTTTCTTGGCTCTGGATGACATCAAGACGGGCAGTCTCAACACTTTTGATGAGGGTGCCTTTGACGCCCTTGGTATGGTCCATAGCCTGCGCAAAAGAGCTCAACAGCTTGGGGTCGATTACATCAACAATCAAGTTGTTGGAATGGCTCGCGTCGGCAACAAAATCACTTCCGTTACTCTCAAGACTGGAGAGAGCATCAGCGTTGGCAATGTTGTCAACGCCGCAGGAACCAGAGCTGCTGAGGTCTCGCGGCTTGCTGGTATAGATCTCCCGATTGAGGCTCGCCGCAGATACACCTACATCTTCTCTGTCGATGAACCTCTATCTCAGGATCTCCCGCTCACCATTGATCCTACTGGTGTTCACATGCGATCATATGGAAAGAAGGATTACCTGGTGGGTTGTCCGCCAATCGGCCCTGATGTTGCCGTCAACCCGGATGACTTCAGCTACGCGGAGGATGTATGGAACCTGAAGATGCTACCTGTTCTCAAGAAGCGAGTTCCTCAGTTTTCCACTGCAAAAGTCACGCACTCGTGGATGGGCCACTACGAGTTCAACACTTTCGATCACAATGCCATCATCGGACCGCATAATGGAGTTTCCAACCTGTTATTCTGCGTGGGCTTCTCTGGACATGGAAGCCAACAGGCTCCCGCTTGTGGACGAGGTGTCGCAGAACTCATCACGTACGGAGAGTTTCGCACTCTAGACTTGTCGGCTTTGGGTTATGGTCGGATTGCTCGCAATGAGCCTCTGATGGAGCGAGCTGTTATTTAGATCTGTAGAATGGTTGAACGTTAGAACTCTTCATACTGCATTGCCAAGTTGCCAACCCATTATTTTGTCTTCTTGTCCAGCTTGACGTTCGTGAGATCGTTGCTCTGTGAAAGCTGATGAAGCCCTTCGAGCCACAGAATAGCAGGAGTCAAGATAATTTCTGGCTTGTTTAACCGCGTTTTTTTGTTACAGTATCTCCTGGTTCGATGCTTCCATCCTCTCTTCCTTTGCATTCAATAGCTTGGCTGTTTGTCGGCTGTTGCACATGATCCGAAGCATGCCCATCTCCAAGATCTGCCTATAATTTCTCCAGTCATGAACATTGACAGATTGGCTCCTGCTGGTCCACGGAACTCCCTGGTGTTCTAGACTTTACCCTGATTTGGGCAAGCCGATGTCGTCATTTGTGTTTGCGACAATAGCCGTGAGGATACGAAGTACGATAATAGCCGCAGCGTCTTTGTAATCCGTTTTCATTCAGGGCGTCGGGGACACTTTCCAGTATGGGCGGCCCTGGAATACAGGGCGTACCCCGCTAAACTGCACTTTCAAGGTGACACGAGAATAGCCGTTTGTTGCAAGAGCTGCTTATGAAGCAATCCAGTTGCGATAAAATTCTAGTTTCACATGTTGAAGATCGTCGCATGCAGTTAAATATTCAACTTCCCCTCCTCGAAAGTGAGAAACACCAAACATCAATTGCAGGCTTCTTCCTTGACAAACATCAACCATGACCAAGATCTTCCTGTTGGTTCAACCCCGCACCCACTGTAACTTTAGCTGACCCGCTGGAAACAACACAGTACCGGCGCTACTGGCTACATTGGCGGTGATGTCCTCCATACGCTGTTGAAGTCGCACCCTGAATACAAAGTTCGAGCCTTGGTTCGCGATGCTTCGAAGGGAGCAGCCATAACCAAGAGCTATAGTCAGGTGCAGCTCGTGACTGGCGAACTTGACGACACAGATGTTATTGCACAGGAAGCCCGGGATGCTGACGTTGTGCTCCGTACGTCAACATCCTTGTCCCCAATCCCAAGGCATTGATTGTACTAATACTCAGTCTACAGATCTCGCGGCCACCGGCCACTTGAAGAGTGTCCAGACCATCTACGAAACTCTCTCGAAAAGGCCTGATAGTGCGAAACCCCCATATTACATCCAAATCTCAGGCGCCAGCGCGTTGGCGGCTGGTGAGCTCGCCGACAAGTCGCGAGTCTTTGGTACAGGCAGTGATGTCATCTACAATGATCTTACTGGTATCGACTCAATCAAGTCGCTCATCAAGCAATACCCAAGCCGCGCAGTGGACAACTATGTCTTTTCCGTTTCGGAGCAAAACTCGAATGTAAAGACGGCGCTTGTTGTTCCTCCCATCATTTACGGCCGAGGTCGTGGTCCCGGCAATCAGCGCAGCATACAAATTCCCGGGCTCGCCAAAGCGACATTGGAGCGCAAGAAGGGTCTGCAAGTTGGCTCTGGTGAAAGTCGCTGGGGGAACATTCACGTCGCCGATTTGAGCCGCATCTTTCTCAGCTTGGTTGAGAAGGCGGTTGAGGGCAATCAAGATGAGAACATTTGGGGAGCAAATGGACTCTTTTTCACGGGTGCTGGAGAATTGGTGGGTTTTGCATCCCCAACTGAGCAAAACTTGGTGCTAACAAATTGGCTACAGTCATTTGCCGAGATTTCACGTCGCATCGCTGTCGCTGCAAATGACTTTAATCTCATTCCGACCACAGAAGTTGACAATCTCGATGCAAAGGAGATAGACAGCATCATTCCCCACGGTTCTGTCCTGTTGGGAACAAACGCGCGCGCCGGAGCTGATCGGGCTCGAAAGATCCTCGCCTGGCAGCCAGAACATGAAAGCTTGGAAGAGTATATCCCAACCACAGTAATTCAAGAGGCCGAGGCACTTGGCATTAAGGGTAAGAATCCCAAATCCAAGCTTTGAGCTGAATACAACAAATAATGTTGATCCGAAATAGTCGAGCAATGGAGACACTGAGTGCAACGACAATGGTGCAATAGAGGGGCGAAGCATTGCCACAAGACAACGTCTGAGGGTCGCAATGGAGTGAGCGAGCGGTTTATGAGAGCGAGCGAATGAATAAATTGAGACTTAATTTCGATAACCCAGTGATTTCTAAATGGCCTGGCATTCTTTTGTATAGTCGTTGTTGTACTGTCGCAGAGGCCAATCGAACTTTACGCGTGAAATGGGCGTCGTGATTGAAACCAAACTTGGAAGGCAACAATCACAAATATAGTGCTAACGCCTAAAAATACTGCTAAGGAATAGAGAACATATAGAATTTAATATTCTTGAGCCCTCTCTATTTGCATCCGTTATTCTCCCGTCGTCGCCGCGGATTTCTAACCATCACGCGTCGCATCTAGGGTAGGCATTTTGACGCGACGAGGTGTAAACACCAGAATTGCTTTTCTGTGGCTACTCGGTACCAGTGACGTATCTCCAGCCGGGGTTTAAAATTTGAGTTTCATGGTACTTAGAATGGAGAGCCCCTGAGAATCTAGTGACGCAAGTTCGCATTATCATCATCACTAATTCAATTCAACTCAATTCAATTCAACATGCCTCCCAAAAGATCAAGCAACAGTCAGAATAAACGGTCTCACGAGGGGGCCGAAAATGGCCAGCCTGCGTCTAAAAGCGCCCGAACCAATGACGCCCCAGCAGCGGAGCAAGGCGAGAGCTCTCAGGCCCCCAGAGGTTCGCGCAAGCGTCACATTCCCCGGGCCCGAAGGGAGAGGCCATGATGCCCCAATTCATGCCTCGTGAGTGTGCAGAGTCCAAAGCCATCGAAGCGATTCCTATGCCTACACGATGGATCGCTGCCATTGACGCTACGCCTGGTCGCGAGATGACTCTGGGCAGTCGCAAATGGTGGGACGACCATGGCCCTTGGCTTGATGCTCATAAGAAGGCCCTTAAGCTCTCTGCTGCAAAGTGGAAGATGAGAGACGAGGCTATGAAGCAAGATGATACTGTGCCTGATGACGAAGGTGCTGATGATTGGGACTTCATCTGCATGCCCATTCCTCGGATTGAACGACGTGGCAGCGATGATGATGAGGAGGACGAGGAGGAAGAAGAAGAAGAAGAAGAAGAAGAAGAAGAAGAAGAAGGACAAGGCGAGACTGGAAACGATGCTGAGAAAGACGGGGAGAAGAAGCCCTACGACAAGCTTGCATCACTTCACCCAGAGTGGCCTTGGTTTTTCACCATGCGCGGTGTTGATCGCCATACGTGGTGGGAGCAAGAATGTCTCAAGCGCAGCCCGGATGACTTTGACTTGTACATCTACAACGACTTTGGTAGCTACGGTGCAATGGAGGTATTGGAGAACATCGTGAGTACCTTGTATATGCATGATCCTTCTAGGCTTGACTGACTGGTACAGATTGCCCAGTTCAACCTTGTCTTCAAGCCAAAGTCCACCTATCGCGATTTCTGGCCTGAAGTTGAAGGACTTGCCATGATTCTTCGCGGCAGTCTGCTCGAATACGTCAGTAAGTTCAGGTTTCATCCCAAAGAAGAATTGTCCTTGCTGACCACACAGTGATTGATGATGGTGAAAGAGTGCAAGTGACTTGCGAGGTTGTTGGCGCCCTCATCCTCGCTACCATCGAGGCCCTGAAGAAGCAAGATGTCTTCAAGCCCGACTCAGAGATCCGCAACCTTGGCCTTGTTCTTTTCATGTTTATCCGATGGGGTCGCGAGCAGTCGGATTACGGCGTCGAGGAAGAGAACTGGTCTTGGATCTACAAGATCATTGATCTTGCCGAGGAAGCCGGTATCAAACTTACCGCGCCGCATAACTTTGAGAAGGATTATGAGGAAATCAAAGATCACCGAGAGGAATGGGCTCAGAGGATGGGCAAGTGGAATAACGTGAAGTGGAACGATAGAGTAAGCTTTCCCACTGTTGCTTTGAGAATGACAAGGTTGACGGGTTTTCAGCTCAGAGACTTCAAGGACAATAAGGGGTCTACCAAGCTCGGGGGACACGAATTTGATATCACCAGAATGAGCAAGGCTCAGAGACAACAACATTCACTCAGGTAAGTACCCCGCCAACAATCTTATATCCAGTTTGATAACCCTTTGTGCAGTGGCGGAGGTGACAACTTTCTGATGTGATGATCTACTTGCTCTACAAACAAATGGCAGGGGAAACTTGAGCATAAAAAAGGGGGAAGCCTACAGCTTTTGTTGGTGAATACATATTGGATATCAGATTGCATGGGCTATTATCCCTTGTGTAAGATTATTTGAATTTGAGAGGTATCTGTCTAAGCTCGTTTCTTGTTCAACAACTCCCTGGCCGTCTCGCATGACTTCGCAAGCTCAATGTTAGAAATCACACCAATTCGCTCGTTGATCTCCTGCTCAATCTTGGGAATGTCTTTTCCAACACCCTCTGCCCTCCACTCATACGCATTTCCAACAAACCTACTGCTATCGACAAGCCATTGACCCCTTTCTCTTCTCGACTCATCATAAGCGGCAAATGCAGCCTCGATATCCGACAGATTTTGTACACGCTCATCGGCAAGAATTTCCGCCATGACTGCGCTATCTTCTATACAGAAGCCAGCTCCGGCACCGTGATGGGGACTTGTGGCGTGGGCGGCGTCGCCGAGGATAGCTATTCTGCCTTTATAGAATGATGGGACGGGGTTGTCACCAAGGTCAAAGATGGCCCACTGCAAGAATCAGTATTTGGTTGGTATAGATGCTGAATGTTGGACATACCACACTGAGAGTCTCTTCTGTTAGCTTCAAAAGGTTTGTCACGGTGCTGTTGTAACCCTTGAAATCATCCAAAGCATCCTGGCGGCGCGCTGTCTTGGTGAGCCTTGTAGGATCACTCCACTCATTCGGATCTGTGCGGAACGCGACAACGTTGAGCTTCTCGCCATGGTTGACTTGGAAGGTCAAGACATGACCATCTTGTCCCATCTGAGTAGTCAGTATCATGTTCAGTATTGCAGACGGGCCATGAACTTACGTGCATGCACGCGTTTCGCGCCCTCTCCTCACCGACAGCCTCAATGGCTTTGTCCATCGGGATGAGACCACGATAAGCATACTTGTGAGAATATCGGGGTCTTGCACATGGATGGTTCTCTCCAAAAAGGATCCTCCGGACGCGAGATCCGATGCCATCACAACCAATCAGAGCATCGGCATATGCCGTTGTGCCATCAGAAAAGCTCATGCGAACCTTGCCATTAGGCTCTTCCACTGCGTTATCAATGTGTTTGTTAAACTGCACCTTGTCTGAAGGTAAAAGGTGAATAAGCTCGTTGAGAAACTGAGCTCTGTGAACACCGTTCTGGCCAAGAGGAGTCTTAATGCTGAAAGCCACCTGGTCATCCTCGGTGGTGCCGTCCAGGAAGTCAAACCAGGTCTTGCGCTTAGATTCCCAGCCATTCCAGGTGCAGACTTTGAGAAAGGCGTCGTGTACACCAGGATGGCACATCTTCATCGCTTGCACGGCATTAGGAGTGAATGAGACACCTGCACCAATCTCATGGAAATTGTCGGCTCGTTCATAAAGCATAACGGGGACATTTCGATGGTGAAGGGCGATGGCCAGAGTCAGGCCGGCAATACCACCGCCGACAATGGCTATGTCGAATGGCTTCGTGGTGTTTGACGAGATAGCCATGTTGATTAGTAAATGATGATTAAAGAATAGAATCTGATTGAAGCAATTGACGCAAGGCCATGAGTAGTTGTAGGTCTTTTAATAATAAGGAGTGACAATGCTTTTGCTCACCCCGTAAAGCTAGCTAGTCCCCATTCTGCCGTCATAGACGCATCCGACTCTTCCAGACCAAAACAACCAAGAATCAGCCAAGAAGTTGGGGAACACCCGGCTTCCGATCCCCACTCGCTGGTTTCCGACACTTTTGGAGTTTGAGCTCAGGGCTTCCTTTGCGGGGAATCTCCACGTTGCTTCCGCGGAGACTGACTCGGTAGTTTCTGAGTCGACCTTCTAGATCAAAATAAGCCGCACGACATGGGATGCGGACTGACTTTCAAGCTGGAGACACGGCACGTGGCCATTATCAGGTTCGGATGCTGGGTTTCATGAAGGGTCCTTGAGATATTTGGCGTGTTTGACCTATCGGAGGAGGGTATTCTCGGAAGCTAAAGAATGGAAGCCAACTAAGCTCCGTTTACGACTAACAATCAAGCTTTGAAGGCGCAGAAGAAGAGCTGCAAAGAACATATCTAATACAAAAATGGTAGGTTGCAGCAGATCTCAAACATCTAGAACCGGCATTCGAGCAACCCATACCCCACGGGGGAGGAAAGGGGTTAGCTATACCCCGAATATGCGTTAGTTCAGTGACCCGTGTGTATAAAAGCAGTCCCGATAACAACCTGGGTTACCCCAGATTCTACTACATCATCTAAACTTTCTTTCCGAGATGTCTTCTAACCCTACCATTGTATTTGCCCCCGGCGCCTGGCACTTGGCCTCTTGCTTTGACCCCATTCGCGAGGCCCTTCACAGCCGGGGATGGACAACCGAAGCTGTTGAGTATCCATCTGTAGGAGCTGAGCCTCCCACTAAGGGTCTCGATGATGATGCCGACGCTGTACGGACTGTCCTTCAGCGTCTAGCCGATAAAGGAGAACAGATCGTCCTTGTTGTCCACTCATACGGTGGTTTGGTCGGTGCCAATGCTGTGAAGGGGCTAGGATACCGCCAACGCAAGGAACAAGGTCTTCCCGGTGGTGTCATCATGTTCGTGTACCTAGCGGCGTTCGTGACGCCTCTCGGCCTGAGCATCAAGAAAATGCTCGGCGGCCAATTCCTGCCCTGGATGAACTCCAAGGTAAGCAATCTCAAGTATTCTCGCTCGAGAAAACTCCATTCTGACTGCCACCAGGGAGATTATGTGTACGCAGACACGCCAGAGGAAATCTTCTACCATGACCTGAGTGGCGAGGCACTTGAGAGCGCCATGAAGACGCTCAAGCACCAATCAGGTCGTGTTTTTACAGATACTGTCACATACGAGCCGTGGCACGATATCGAGACCATGTACTTCTTCTGTGACGAGGACAAAGCGCTGTTCCCTGTAGTACAGGAGCAAATGGCAGGTATGCTAGGTCCGAATGCCGTGCAATTTCACTCCAAAGCATCGCACTCGGTCTTCCTGTCCAAGGTCGATGAAACAGTTAAGGGAGTTGAGTTAGCTGTCGAGGAGGGCAAGAAGAGAGCGGCTTAGGTCTTTTGATACAATATGAAGCACTTGAGAATTGAGATATCCTGTTAGTTTATGAAACCAAGTTTGCCATCACTAGATCCTAAATTGTATAAGACCATCGAGATCTCTACTCAGGCCAGGTATATGGAAACAGATCGACAGACTTTTCCGTTAAATTAGAGCGCACTGGAATGTATGAGCCTAGCTACTATCAAACGCCTCAGAATTGGAGAGCAAAAACTTACAAAGAGATTTCCCGGCCTCGATAAGTCCCCGCGGGTCTAAGTGAAAGTCAATAGGACGCCTGCCACCTTCACCCTGACTTATCACGTGCAGGCAGCACTCGGCATCTTCATCGTACGGCTGAGGTTGAAAGTGAACTTGGCCATGCTCTTCTGAGCCCATCTGGTAAACAGGTCCCCTAACCTCGAGATTTTGCATGTTCGACTCTAGGCTGCTGCAGAATTTGATAGGTTCTATGAACAGTCCTCCACGCCAGGCTCGCTTCAGAAGGTTGAGAACGATCGACTCTTTTGTCAGTTGAAACCTTAATGTCAATAGATTGAGCTTAGGAAGACCGGGGAATTCTGAGACGGTTTACAGGGTCTTCCAGTTGGGGAAATGGAAGCCTTTCAGGTCAGAAAGTCCGAGGAGTGGGATGCCAAGGGCTTGGTATGCAAAGTCTTGAAGTCACGGACATTTCTGGGCAAGTCTCGCAAGGCCAATAAAATTGCTTTCGTTCTCAGCTTCGGCGCCAATCTGAGGCGCTATTCAGCCTGTTACTCTTCCAAGCCAATCTTTGTCGCCAACCTCGCGCCAATCCTCCCCACGGCCTATCAAAGCAAAGACCGGCGTGAAGATGTTGGTGTTTAGAGATGTCACAATCACCAGCACGTGCCCGATATCAGGTCTATCCCAGTCAGTTGGACTGAGTTGATCGTTAGCCAAGGCAAATAGCTTCATGTTTGTATCTTTGAACAAATTGAGAGATTGAATCTAAGCTTAGCATCACATGTTATAGGCGCCAAGAAAGGATTGTGCCTCGAAAATTGTCAATTCAAATATCTGATTATGGGTGAGGCTTTTCCATCCGTGACATGATAGTCAACCTATCCTCCAAGGAGTGAATAAGAGTGTTTTAGTCTGTTTATTTGGTACCGGGGACGGTAGGAAGTCTGACATTGAGGCAAGCGGTGATGTCATCCAGAAGGTCCTCGGCGCTATGGAACATTCAGTATCATTTAACTGAGAAACAAACAAAGGGCAGTCAACTTACCAGCCAAAGACATCGAAGATGCCAATATCGCTATTGACGTTAAGGCCGGGGAGGCACTCGAGGATGCCAGGGATTTTGAGTAGACAGGCAGCGTTGAAGACAGAACGAGTTGGGAGCTGTCGCTCCTCCATCTGTGGAGTAGCAGCCGCGATGGCAAGGGCGGGAAGAGCGAGGATGAGTGAGGCCTTCATATTGATGGTTTTAGGGGATCTGAGAGATCTTGAGTGGAGTAATTATTTGATTGTAGTGATTGAAGAGTGTGGTTGAGAGTGCTAAGGATGAATTGATGAGGAGGAAAGAAGCAGAGCTTTTATAGATATCCAAACTCTTAAAGAGCCACCCAAGCCATGTCTCCTCCCTGCTCAGTGACCAAAGTCTTCATGAGTGTCTGAAAACCACAAGTCATGAGAGGCTGGCCGAATATCTCACACGGTCATCGTTCCGTGGAGTTGAAACTCACGATAGATACATTACTTGTCATAGGATATTGGTAGTCCCAACATGTCAAAGTCGTCTCATAACCGTGCGAAGATGCATGGAGTTGCACAGGCTCAACGTCCCGGCAATTAAGTTTGTCTTACCGCGTTGGGCCGGAAGCATAATTGTCTGGTATGTGATATCTCAACTTGGCAACTTTCATGATAATTCTTGCTATTCTGAGACCTGCCGCTGCCATGTATGTCAGAGGCGTCTGTCAAAGTAACAACAACGGTTGATATAATCGAGATCAGGGCAAAGGGCTGTTCTGAATGGACCGGACCATTCACTGCTTGGCCCTTGACTTGAACATCGTTGAGGCGGTGAGAAGGATTTGGGATGAAGTCAGAAAATGAGGTTTCGACAAACTTGGTTTTGAGTCACATGTACATCAGCCAAGGTTTCAAGCTGCGTCTACAATCAAACATCACTTCCTTGGATACCTTGAGCTTTGCTAAGTGTTGCATGTCTTCTAATGAATTTTGCTGTTGCTGCGGCAGACTAGTGCTCTGTAGAAGAACTGTCTTTTGAAAACAGAACTTTACTCAATAACCTGCTCGTAGATCTCTAACCCCCACAAGACATTCTAGTTGTGAGATAGCAGGACCCCTTTCTTCAGCCGCACGTCAAGCGGCAAGTACCGATCCATTCTTCGCCATCCTTGCATCAGTCTGATCGACACCCAGGAGCCAATGTCCTGTCTCAACGTCGAACGTTCCATAGTGACAGCTTCTGGGAGATGAGTGACACAGTGTAAGTGATCTGCAAGCCGTCACTTATTCCCGAAATAAGAGGGTCGACTGGCTGCTGATCTCTATCGACTCGTATACAGCACGCGACTTGAGGGATACGAAAATCATCCTATGGGGCATCCATCATCCCTTCATCGTAGCAGGGCGCAACACTCCTCCCTTGACGATCTCATCACAACCAACATCAAAGGGGTGAGACATTCGTCAGTGGACTGCCAATCATGACAGCTCCGCATCGAATCTGCAAGTCGTCCAAATAAGAAAATGCGGGAGCTGCCATGGCACTCTGTACTGCCTCTTGGCTCACAAAACCGGAATGGAGCAGCGTTCGGACCCCCAATGTCTTGGATGTGCGGATATCAGTGGTGCGGATGTCGGTCAGGCGGAGATCCCTCAGTGGTAATTCGAATGTCAGCTTGGCACTGACCAAGTGCGTTAGGGGGGCTGTCAGTTGCATAGCCTGTCGGGATCTAGATCGAGCGGCCCGTTGCGAGCGGAAGTTTACTTAGGAAGCTAATATGAGAGGCTGGAGGCAAAGTTAGTCCCGGCTGGCAAAGTTTGTATTCTGCACGAATCGTACCTTGAGTTTTCAGCCAAATTCTGAATTGAGAACTTGAGCTCCATATAATCACAGGACCTTATGAGACCTTTCATGCAATATGCCTCAGACCAGCAGGTCTGGACTTGGGCGCAGTGGGGACGTATTTTCAGCTCCAACTATCATCTTGTGATGCCAGCCAATAGCTCTCCCCTCTCTCCTGGTCATTTGATGAAACGGGATGATGCCCCCATCAATGTCTCTACTGTTATGTCGCGGTACAGTATGCGGGGAAACTTGGCCGTCATACCCGCCAATGTCTCTACATGAGTTGGTAGGTAGTCTGAACATGCTGCATGGTCGACGAATGTGACAGCTGACAAGTGGCAGAGAAACGGCTAGCTGTAACCTTAACTCCATAAAAACCTCCGATGGGTTGAGAGTGTTCGGATGTGATAGGCGATATTTACGGTAGACGTACGGAACTCTACATCGATCGCCAACATTCATTCTGATCTATCGTTTTAAGGGAGCGTGGGGCTAAGAACAGGCCGATGACAGATTGCAATTATTCAATCGATCGCTTGAAGACATATGCATCTTGATGATCTTGAATGATGTACAGGCACTCGTGCCATGTTTGGGTTGGGCCAACTGATCGAAGCTTTGCAGTTGAGAATAGCCTGTAACTTCGGCTTGATGCAAGAAAGTACTTGTAGAACTCAACAAAATTACTCAAACTTATTTCAAGTTAACGAAATCGGAGCTACTGCTCCATGGGCGTCGCCGGTCAGCTTCAGAGTGGACACAACGATGGGGTTGGTGTGCCATCGTCAGTTGGAAATTGAAGTCTGCACCCAACTTCGCCGTGAGATGACGGATCAAGCTCAACAAACAGTTCTACCTGTCTACCCATTAGGTAACTGAAATTCCCGTCCCTAGCCATTGGAAGGCGAACCGATTCTAGGAATATGAAGGAGAAGTTGGAAGTACCTTATTTGTTAGTGTTTCATTCAATGGTTCCGCTCATAGTGACAAGATAGAATTGAAGCTTGATTGCTTCCCACTAACTGAGTAGATAAGTACGGCAACGCATTCTAAATTTGCAGCAATATATGTAATAAGAATACACTTTTAAGGATATGTTAACCACAAAATATCTGAAATGATTTTGGAGTAAACTACCCTACAGTTGTGCATTTTCCCTCAGCCAACTTAGGGCTGCTCCCGACTGCAAATGAGGGGCTAGTAAGCGCTATTGGGAAGCTATCAAAGAATTACTTGGTGTGACCGGGGTGAATCATGGCGCGGATCCGCGTATTGCCCACGTCTCACGAACTCAAATACTCGTATGCTTGGCAATATTAATATTCAATCGTCACAAGCCAGGTCATCAATACCGGCACATGTATCCGAGAATACATGTATATAAACTGGCTGTTGCGCTGCCCGTGACGGGTTTGTGTTCCTTACGACGTCAGGTAAGGAGGAATACAGGCTGCAGTGCTGCACAAACCACGTACGGGGCTTGATAAGGTGTCACACGGAGTTAAAGGGCTGTTGTCCGTTGGAAATTGTGCAACACGGAATTATGTCAGAGGCATAGCTTGTGCGATGAATGCGAGGCAATATTCAGCATTAGTTTTTCAGGTTACCAATAAATGAGCAGCTGAGATCGGTCATTTGCTTCGCTCATAACAAAGGAAATGACGTAAATGAATACAGCGAGGATCTCACGTAATCGCATATTGATTGATTGATTGATTGATTGATGAATCAATATCTCGCTCGGCGAAAAAAAGTGCGCAATGCCGACCGGGCTTATCTAGAATTATCCGCAAAACCCATGAAGGAGCGAATCCTTCCAGTCACATTTTTACATTTTTAGGTGCTAGTGGGCATCTTTTGTAATCACAGTTATCTTAGCGCAAAGTCGGCGTGTCGGCCACGTCGCGACGCGAGCTGGCCCCGGTTTTTAGCAGCTAATGATCGCCCTGGCCCCTACGCGAGCCCCCCATAGGGTTTAGCGTGTGATTGACTCAGGCCTCGCTGCTCGGACTTGTCTAGATTTCCGACCTACGACGGAGGAACTCAAGAGTCCAGAAGATGCGGCCATAGTAATAACATGGCACCATCCATCAGATGGGTCTGGCTATTTAGATATGCAGGCGTCGCACGATTGTTTTAATTTCGGATCCGTCAATTACTTAGACAGATAAACAAAAATAACTACCGGTCTCCATTAATCGTGGCCTGACCCTTTAAAACCCTTCCTTCAGCCCCTGCATCTCAACATCACATACCCCTTTCGTTCAGTTCAACCTTCAGCATGACAGTCGATCTAGAACAACAATCATCCTCCCCGGCTCCCACATTACACGACGAGCCGGCCGTCATGGAGGACACGCAACGACATGGCATCAACTCAACAACATGGCACGGCCGAAGAGGTCTTGTCGTCAAGATTCTCACAGGAGTCATGGTCGCCATTCTCGTCGTATTTCTCGCCGATCTTTCATACGTCTTCGGTTCAACATTCGAGGTCGGTAATCGAGTATCAGGCCTGAAGATTCTAGTCGTCGACTATGATGGTGGTGCTGTCGGAGAGTCTGTCGCCAGCGCATACAAGAACTTCCAGGACAAGACATTCCCTACACTTGAGTTTCGATCCGCCGATGACTACCCCGAGACAAATGATGTCAAGCATGGCGTCTGTCACGCCGATTATTGGGGTGCTATCTACATCAACAAGGGCTCTTCTGATAAGCTTGCCGCTGCTTATGAAGGCGGCTCTGCTGCTGAGAACTACAACCCTGCCGATAGCATCACCTACATCTACAACAGCGCCCGATACCCCACTGTCGCGTCGGGATACGTGGTACCCAACTTGCAAAAGATCATTGGGGCTGCTCGAGGTACCTACTACCAGTCCCAGCAGGGTCGATCCGCCCTGCGAAGTGTCAACAGCAGTGACCCAGCTGCTGTCGAAGCATTTCTCAACCCCATCCAAGGTACCGCCGACATCATCATGCCCACCAACCAGGGAAGCCGAAACCTATACAACACCATCAATATCGTCATGGCTATCCTTGGCCAGTTCTTCTACGTCCTCGCCATGAACGGCATCTATGACAAGTTCGGCCTTCACAAGAACATGCGCATCCGCGATCTCTTCATCATGCGTTTAATCAACGGCATGGTATTCTGTGCACTTTTTGCCTTGATCGTTACAGGCTATATCTGGGCCTTCCGCGAAGACTGGGATGTCTCTGGTGGACAGTTTGCCCTATCTTGGTTGACGTTTTGGCTTTTCATGGATGTCAACTTCCAGGTACTAGAAACTCTCATTGGAAGCTTCATTCCCATGGCTCTCACGCCTTTCTTTCTCCTCACTTGGTTCATGATGAATGTCGGCTCTGTCGTCTTCCCCTTTGAGCTCACAGCTGGATTTTACCGCATTGGTTACATCTTCCCTGCTCATTCATTGTGGATTATTCTCATCCAGGTTTGGTCTGGTTGTGGTAACTCGCTTCATATTGGACTTCCTATTCTCTTTGCTTGGTTTGTTGTTGGACATGTGACAGCGTTCTTCGGTATCCGAAAGAGATGCTTGGATCAGTTGGAGAATCTCAAGACTGCTGAGGGCAAGCAACAATAAAGGAACCACTTGGCTAAGTGGGAGGAGTTTTCCTAAATTTGTATTTGTACGGATTGATGACATAGAATTTGAAAATACCCCTCGATAGACTACATATATAATAATTATTATACACAATTTAGACAGTCACAATAGTTTGGAATGTCTCAAGTGCATGATGAATCCCGCAGATGAACATTGTGTATCTCCCAAGCGAGTATCTAACTAGGTTACAAGACGAACTTTGAGCTTGTCGCCCTTGACAATCTCTTCCTCCTTCGTCATCAGTTCAGGAAGATCCCAAGTGAGGTTGATGTAACGCCCAGCCAGCCAAGGTCGACGTTCCGATGCCAAATAAACCAAAGAGTTGGCACAAAGTGCAGGAGTGTCAACAAAGGCTTGTTCCTATTAGCAGCTGATCCTAGCGACTCGAATCAACAGACTGACCTGCTCGAAACTTTTCAGGAATTCCCTCGATTCCTCCCAACATCTCTGAAGGAGAGTTCCCAGGATGGACGCTGTAAGAGACTATTCCTTTGTCCGCGTACTCGACCGAGATGAACTCGGTCAACCTGATAAGTGCTAGCTTGGAGATCTGATATGAGCTTAGAGTCGGCGACACAAGATGAGCTCCGACGCTACTGATGTTGATGATAGTCTTGAGTTCCGACTTGACAAGCAGAGGGGCCAAGGCTCGTGCAACAAGATAGGGTCCATAGACATTCGCGGTGAGGGTCTGCAACCAGTCCTCAGGCTCAGACTCAGGGATAGACACCATTTTCATGAATGCTGCATTGTTAATCACGATATCAACATAACCGAATGCTTCGTCTATCTTCTGCGCCAAAGCATCAACACTCTCTGGAACACCAACATCAGCCTTGATGGTAAGGATCTCTGGCTCCGGGTGGCCGGCTTCATTTGCCGCAGCTTTTATAGCTTCAGCTGTTGCCGACATGTCGGATCTAGAAGCGACAACAATACGAGAGGTACCAGCTCGTGCAAAGGCTGCACACATGGCTCGGCCATAGCCTCGAGATGCCCCAGTGACGAGAACTACCTTGTCCTTGAAATTGAAGTTCTTTGGGTCGATGGCAGGATAGCTGTCGGAGTGCACCACTGAGGTAACGTCATAGTCACCTTCATAAATATTAATTCATGCATAAAAAGAAGCCATACAAAGAGGGCTTGCTTACCAGGCCCTTCAAGAGGATTGGGGGTTCCTTTGGGAGGAGGCATTATGAATACGCGAGATATAATGTTTTTGTTTTAAAAATGAGATAGGCAAGTAGTTTGTTTCGAGTTCTCATGCCCAAGATAGTGAGGCATCTTATATCCGTCCGTCGTAACAGGGCCTATGCAGCTATTACCAAGCTTTGGTGGACTTCGCCTCAGGCGGAATTTCCGGTCAGCCACTGAAGCCCTCCCTAGCCAATCGCTTGCAAGCGAGAATCCTCAGCCAAGGCTTTTGGTCCACTCAGCATATGTCATTGCGGATATAAAGACGATGGTGCAGCAATTCGGACTTTACAGAATTCTCTTGCCAAGGTCCTCGACAACAGTCAATTGAGGGGCATGCTATCTGCTTGGTAATTACAACTTCTCATATTTGCAGCGATGATGCCGGGTCATTTACGGTAGCAATCCCAGCCAACAACTCTTCCCAAGTTTCATCTTCCATCAGACCAAAGTCTAACACTGCTTCAGGCTGCATACTTCCTGAGCCAGTACTTGAGAGATAGCCTTCCGAGCTTCCTAGCTCGGAAGAAGAGTTCTGTCCATCGCTCCCAACAGAAAAGCTCAAAAGGCTTGGTTCCAGCCCTTTCGTTTCCTCATACGCAACTGCCACTGCCCATATCATATCCGAGAATCCGAGCATAATGTCTTCTTCATTACCGATTTTCTGTACTTGAGGTGACAGATTCTTGAATTTTCGTTGCAGCCGCTTTGCCTCGCCCTTCAAGTCAGCCACCCTCTCAACTGTCATAGCGTCGTGAACAGGAGAACTAATGGCAATGAAAGGGGCATTGTAGGAAGCAATTCCAGTCTCTCTAAAGATCTCCGATGATATCTTGCTAGCATTTGAGAGACACAAGAGGCTTCTGCAGATCTTGGCCGTTGTGTAAAACGTGATGTACCAGAGCTCTTCGTCTGGATAGGCTATGACGGCATCATTCAACGACTTGCAGCTTCGAATTAGGTTGAACAAGATGGAGACCCTGGTATTGGTTGAGGAAGACGGATTATTAGTTACGAAGTGGTTAGAAGTCGATGTGGTATCCCAAAATTCATCATGCAGTGAAACTTCACCGAGTAAGGTATCAAGCAAGTAGACCTCCATTCTTATAGCAACTATCGATGAACTTTAGTTAAGCCATTAGCCTATTGTTCTTGGAAGTTGACTTACGGTTGTTCTGGAGATCCGGAGGAATTGAGGCTTTCAACAATGCAGATTCGTTATTGAGGGTCTGCAAAGCCATGGCACTGACAAACTCTCCCCTCATCCCCGAGTTTTCGAGATCGTCGTACCCAAAAGTGTCACATATACGACGGCACATTTCGCTTATGCGGACGAAATGGGGAATCATAAGGTCACTAGGGCATTCTGCATTGGAAAGAAGGCGTTCCCAGCTTTGCTTGATGTATCCTGTATATGGCAAAGCGCCACGAGTCCGAAACTTGATAGAAACCCTGGGCTATTAGTCTGCTTCTCGGTGAGGATCCCCGACCTTCCTATACGTACCAAGATGCCGTGCAATATGTTCCAAGCAAAGCCCGAAGTTGCTCTGCAGACCGCGCGGCCTTTCGTCCAGGGGCTGTTTCGTCTGGCCCAAGATCGACTTTTCGCCTCATATTATCAGGGTTCTGATCGAGCCCGAGGTTCTGAACCAGTGACACACACAATTGTGCGATTGGGACAATTTGCTGCTTCTCGTAGCTGATGAAGAAATACTGGTACCATGACAGGTAGATCAAGAGACCTTGCAGAATTTCAAGAGTGCTCTCTGACTGCATCAAAACTCGCTGGTGTGCTTGGTTGCGGATTTCTTCACCGATCTGGTGCTGGATATTACAATTGTCGAATTTCATGGTTGCCACGATGCACATGAATAAAAAGGGCTTGGTAGCTCTTAGAGAAGCGATCGTAGTATCAGAAGAGATTGGAACAAAAGGGAAGTGTTCGACCGCTTTGTTGCGATAGTTGTCAAGCAAGCTCTGCGCTTCAGGCAAGCTGAGAAACCCACGATCGACAACATCTAGCGTCCCCTGAAGTGTTAAGCCTTGAGATATTGGCAATTGGCCAAACAGGGTACCATTCAGTGCATCCATATCGAGGTCCTCAGCAGCTAACTGTGCAACGAAGCCACTCATAGGCGTACCCTGAGCTTGGGTGCCAAGCAGAGCCAAAACTCTACTCAGCCGCTGCTCGAGGAGCCGTGTACGACTAAGCGATGTTAATATATCTGAATAAAAGCCCCTGTTTCCATAGACATACGAGGAGTTGGAGGGACTCTTTCGCTTCTCCACAACGTTGAGATAAGTGCACCGCTTACCAAGCCGATTACACCGCTGGCATTCGTCAGATGAGAATGGCAGGCATTTCGATTTGACAGAAGTGCAATTGACACAAGCTCTCCTTCTCACACCAGAAACTTTAGAAGAGGTACTAGTCGACATTTCCTCTTGTCGTATTCTCAATATCTTGTCGTTGATCACTAGTGGTAAGTCGGGGAGATTATGGAGTTCCTGGTGCCTGTCAGATTCCGATAGCTTTCGGACTCCGGAGTTTCCGTCGGGCCAACAAAACTTGGATGTGCAGGATGACGTGAGTCAGCATGTAACACCCAATAAGCATAATTCTCAATTTTTATCTAGCTTGATTAAGATCTTATCGCAGGCTAAATGACGTTTGATGCGTCCAAATTGGACGTTTTTGTACAATGTTGCGAAGCTGTCTGCTAGCTTGTATTCTTATTGATCAACTCATCAAACACAAGCATCTCCTCAAACTTGTTAGCCATTGCATGAACCTGCGCTTCAGGGACTATCAGAGACAGGGCCAAAGATGAAACTTGTGAAAGCCTCTTCGGCTGCAGTGTGATGCTCCCCAGTCTAAAAGGCCGAAACATCATGGTGATAACACGTGGAATTGGATGCTGTATGATGGTCAGATAGATACGGCTTGACACTAGCCCAGTAATCACTGAAATACCATTACCTCAGGTGGACAGCCATCTACTGGCTTCATATGACTGTCCTTCGTGCAAGAGTAAATATCATCCTGCAGTTTCACGAGTTGCCACGACCGATGCTATGACTGGATACATAAAACGGGTAGTTATGAATAAATAACTATCTTCACTTCTGATACCATCCACTGCCTACAGCCTTTGTCTTGGCAGGACCAACGTACTTCTTTTCGTACGTAGCAAACTTCTTACTCGCCGAAGATCCTTTGGCATCAGGCAAATCGACCTTGCAGCCAAGAGCCTTGTACCCGGGAACAAGAGCATCCGAGACACCATTGACAATCGACTGCAAGAGCCTCACGGAATTGAAGAGCTCAGCAGGGAAGTTGGCGAAGATTGCATTATACAGGAAGCAGCTCAAGCCTTGAGGGTCTTTGGGCAAGTCCAGTGGACCAACAACCCAGCTACCGTCAGCGCCAGATCCTCCCAAGGCTGGCTGAGCGTAAAGATACACATCAAGAATGCCGCCAACTGCCTCAGGGATAGTCATGGGTGTAGCACGTCGGTACCAGCCTTGCTCCGGAATGCGCTCAGGAACATGGGTGTACTCAAGATCTTTATCCTTCCAAGCGTTCTTGCGCTTCGGCTTGGCGCCGTAGAAAGAGGTGATGGAAGCTTCATTGGCAATACCGCCCGCGCCAATGGTACCATTTGAGAAGAAGCCAGGAACGAAATAGTACGCTCCCATGACAACTGCGGCACTTGGGAGGTTGAAATAAAACTGCTTGTTGGCAGCCTTGGAATCTCTGTATCTGTTCTTAAAGTGTTCCTTGATCGCATCGACGTTGTAAGTGCCATCACCCTTGGCAAGAGCCTGTTGGTGCATCTGCTTAAAAAGCTCGGACTTGAATGAGATGTTGTCTCCATTGAGGTAGAAATCTTCACGTGTAGCAGACGCGTCGCCTTCGTTGAACTTTCCTGCACACATCATTAGTGTCTGTCATGGTGTATGGTCTTGAGATTGATCGCTTACCATGTCCAGCGATACCAGATGGCTTGCCAAAGATCTTGTTCAGGGCGCCATTTAGAAGGCCGACACGGTCATCGGGGCCCCCAATGCTCATCTTCTGAGACAGAATATCACCACCATCGACAGCACCACCAACAGCCAAGAGAGCGGAAAGATCTGCGCCCATATTGAAGAGCTTTGCAGTGCCAGCTTGGATCTGACCGATCGTAGCGATACCGTTTCGGGGGATATCTGTTAATGGTCAGCCGCCTATTCACCAGTCCCTCAATTCTTCAGCTTACATCCGTGGTTGGCCAAAGTGTTGAGACCAGGGCAAGGGCCTCGCTGGTCAGTTTTTCCCGGTGCCTTGAACGGGTGCGAGGCCTCAGGGAACTTCTGCAGACCCTTGACGGCTTTGTTGGTAGGAATCAGGCCCAGGACATTATCAACGACAGCTTCAACGGTGCCTCCAAGCAAAGACACGACGCCACCCACGACGCCAGTCTTGAGCTGTCGAGGCTCACTGCTCTTCTCTTCTTGGCTGACTTGGTGCTCTTTCAAGCGTCGGTCAATCTCTGCACGCGCTTCCGGGTGGTTGAGCAGTGCATCTAATCCCTCCGGTGCCAACCAAGGGAAAGAAAGAGCCGAGGGGGCGCAAAGCGCGGCAATGAGAACAGAGAAACGCATGTCGAAAACCCAAAGTCAATCGCGTTGCAAGTCATGCACCTTCTGAATGGCGATCATTGTAACAAGAATCGATTTGGGCATTATATAGGCGGTTTGGAAATCCACTAATGGAGCTCTGCCTGAATATTCTTCGAGAATGCTATGATGGTATCTGACGTACTCGAAAACATGATGCAAAGCTTGATGAACTAAAAAAGACTTCTACAGAGAAGTAATATGTGCTTTTGCTGGTCATTCTGCCATTGTAAATACGACTGGCTGTTGCGAGGGACACTAAAGTCAAACTATCGATTTCCTAGGTCTATTCTGGTAATACATCCTGGCGAAATTTATAAAAGGGTAAAGCTCTCCGATTCGCATTGTCGATCATAATGAGAATGCGGAGGATTTCAAAAGACTCTCTGATGATTGGTCCTAGATGGTGATGGGAGACGGATCCAAATGTTTCCTTTCTGCAAGTGCAGGGGATATGACCCAGATTTTCCTGTCTTGCGCCGAGAAACGCTCCAAGAAGAGACAGAATGACGATCCTATCATAGATCTGAGAACCGATTCCTTGGCTGAGGCTCAAATGTGGGTTCAATCATTGGGGCAAAAGTGACAATTAACCGTTCTAGCGTGCTCAACTCTAGGCAAGACAGATATCGTCATCAGCGTGAAGTCGACTAGCTCTCCCTTGCATTGGCAATTCCATGATATGATCTTGTTATTCCTGGCGAGAAGTTTTATCACGACTGAGATCCTTTTTGTAGCTCATCATACTCTGCTGCAAGAAGTTCGAACGATGTATCATTGCTCATAGGGTTCTTCATCCTAAACCTGAAAATCTCGCGTCCAAAAGTTGGGTACGGCTCCACTCCTCGGATGTTAGCAGATCCGTCCTGACGGTTCCTTTCTTTGCTTCCAATTGGCCTTGATGAGGTCCAATTCAGCTACGAAGCTTGACGTTGATATGCGATCATCTTGACGTGGGGCTAGGACAACTAGTGCTCATACTCGGCTGAGAAACGGGTTTACCATTGAGCCTTATAAGGAAAGTCTTTTTATTTACACCTTTTTCTAACTTCTAACTTTTCACCTTATATCGAACTTCAAGTGCTGTGTCGAATATCAATTGACTTGCTTGGCTCTCGTCGTAACCTGCTCAGCGCTGTACCAAGCAAATGATGTAAAGTCATATTACAACATTTTGAGAGGACAGCACGAGCCTTCGATATATACTATATAGAAACATTACAAGGAGTTTACATCCTTCCAGTGGCTCACGATTTACCACCCTGGGTAGCTTAAACTTCCACGCAGATCCAATACTGTCAACGCGCTCACCACCGCCAATGATCTTGAACACATCAATCGACAGCTGCCAGACTGCTGCCAAGGTATAAACGATAGAAGCCTTACTGGGTTTTTTCTATAAGTCCTAGCTATTATTTTAATTATTATTAAAACTAATAATCTTTTTATTGTATAATATAAATAAAGGCAATTACCTAATAGCTATAATTATATTATTTATAGAACTATAAGGAATTTAATATGATTTAGCCAAGAATTCGATATTAAGAGATTGAGGCTATATAAGAACCTGTAATTAAAGAATAAGAAGAAAAAGAAGAAAAAAAAAGAAATGCTTCATAGCAGCTACTGGTTTCGATCCAGTGACCTCCGGGTTATGAGCCCGGCTGGGATGAGTTAGTACGAATTTTGAATTCTTACTATGGAGAAGAACATACCGCGCTTCCACTGCGCCAAGCTGCTTTGCTTGAGGCTTATGTAATAGCGGTGGATTGAATTTGGATTATGTACCCAGTACTTCGGCCACTCATTTGCTTTTTGCTACAGGCCTCGCATAACGACGTGCAGAACTTATTGTGGCCTGGCAACAAAAACTCTACTCCCACTCTGATTGCCAGCCGCCATTTCATTGTTGATTTCCTTCGTTTTCTGGCTTCCTCAGTTCCCCTGGTAAACATTACAGGTAACCTACAAGAGTTGAAACTGGCTATTTTTATCCAGGTACAGAGCTTCTTACGCGAGGGCGCCGGCCGACCTTGATAAGCTCCCCAATCCCCCTAGGAATTTCTGATCCTGCTCCGGAATGACCGGAGCAACATACAATTCTATCAGAGATGAGTCATTTCGTATTGCCAACTTGGCGGCTTCTTTCATGTCGCACAAAACTGCATCGCACGTTTCAAGGCAGAATTCTTGTCCCTGGTCTCACTAGATTGGCTCGGATTCGCCCCACATGTCTAGCGCTGACAGCTCGTCAATCAAACTGTGCAAGGGACGCGGGTCGTTAATATTCTCCGAGCCTGGCATGTAAGTATTAATAACCGCCACAATTAACGTGTCAAAATAACAGGTAACAATACTTGTTTTCTTTGAAATGTCTGTTTTTGCGACTTCGAATCAGTTCTTGTTTGTGCATTAAGTCCTCGCTCTAGTAAATTGCATATTCGCCAATATGTATCAAGTTAGAAACTCCCCCCTCTCGAGGGCTCTTTTCAACATCTGGATATGTATTTGGACCCTCATTGTACTTTCGATATTCGCTCTCGCATGTCTTGTTCAAGCAGGCACCATCAACATGCCAGATTGGACCAAGGATCTTCGAAAATTCGACGATGAAGAATGGGCTCAATATTCTGCCATATTAATCATATCAATCTGCGTTCTCTTCGTCCTGACAATGGTCACTGGGATAGCTGCCCTTCGAGCCGATGGATATTAAACCTACTCGACTGGAACTGCGAATCCTTGACTGTAAAGACACTCTCCACGAAGGCTGAGAAGAAAATCGACTCAACAGATACAAAAGTCCATCAACTTCGAGAGCAACTGGCTCCACAGGAGTCAAATCGCAAAGCACTACCTTCTAAGGCCCATTCCTGTTCCCTGCGTCGCCCAAGAGGCACGTCGTCGCCGGAGATGGATGTGCCGCGCCGAGTCTCTTACACAAACGGGTATCTGAGAAGAGACTCCCGACCCTGCAGAAGATGACATTCAATTCTTCGCAGGCCATCTGTGCTCAACAACTCATCCACCCATATGCCCCTTTGACGACTGGCGGATGCACGGCTGGCTCGGAGATATGATGAAAAGGGAGGTCCGGCAAACCACAAGTCGGCGTCCCGCTCAATTGATCATGGCAGAAGGAGGAGCCTGGTTGCGTGGTATTGAAGAATTGGGTTTGAAGTGAAATGATGGAGCTTAGTCTACTCTTAGATACCATAGCATATCGCGTGCAGCTTAATCGTATTATACTATCTAACACCTACGGCTACTCAACCCCAGATTCCAAAACAGCAAAAGTATCAGTCTCAGAATCAAGCTCAGCCAAAGCATCATATGGCAACGTAACCATTGGTGTCGTATGTCCAATGTCCACATTGAATAGAATCGGGAAGTTCTTTGACGCAAGCCGTCCTTCACAAAATAGTCCCTTGATGATACTGGCATACACCTCTCGCTCCTCATCAGAATCATACCCATAAGGTCGTCCCACAACCAGCCCTGCAGCGTCCTCGAAGACACCATGGGCGATCAAGTCTGCAAAAGCTGCCTGAACTCGGTGAGGAGGGTTTCCACCAGAGCCGTCTTCGTTTGTAGCTGTTTCTAGGAAGACAATTCGACCACGCCAGTCAGGAACAATGGCCAAAACCCCCGATAAGCGGGCGACTACGGTGAGGCAACCACCGAACAATCGACCCTGGGCCTTTCCGCATCGAAGCCATTGCCAGTCGGTCGTCTTCACAACCTCTGGTGGCTCTGTCGATTCTGGTGTCGCAAAGAAGGGCGCTCCTCTTGGTGCGTAAAACTTGGATCGGGGAACCTGTCCGAGTGGCTCTGTAGATACAATAGCTCGAAGCAAATTATCGACACAGAAGGAAAGAGGGGTATCTTTGTCGTTGACATCGTTCGCTTCCCCGATCTCGGGTACAGCACCAGGGCCATAGAAAGTCCTCAGACCCGTCAAACCATACAAGAACCAGTGCAAGCCCGAGATGTCGGAGTAGCCCACGACAATCTTTGGGTTTGCGCGAATAGTCTCGTGAAGTTCTTTATCCGCAATCAGAGCGGGAAGAAGCTCTGTGAAGGTTGTGCCGCCAATGGTAGTGATGATGGCGGAGATGCTGGGGTCTGAGAAAGCGGCTCGGATCTCGGACAGCCGGTTTTCAATGCACGATTGAATACCCTTATCTTCACTGAAGAAAGTCTGCACTTGATATCCTTTGTTTGTGAGAAGAGCAGAGGCTCGATCTACGACTGCTGGAAGCGTGGCGTTGATACGCTCTGATGGTGATATGAATGCGATTTTGTCACCAGGCTTTAGGTGTTTCGCTCGAATTGGCGAAGGCATGACGAGGATGAAATGAATTTGCCTTGGCGGTACTTGGGTATCGAATCAACCTGAAAAGGATATACGAGGGTTCAATGGTTCGAGTGCTGTTGGTTGATCTTGCTTGTATCGCGTCAGATCCAGTGAGGGGTCAATGGCGGGGGTTTAATATCTCCACTAACGACCCTGCGTAACGTTATGTTATAAATTATGTTGTGATATCGCACATCATCGGCTCAGCTTACCTTGTTCAAACCAGTCTGAGAAGGGAAAATGTGTGTAACCATTAAATTTCGTAAGGCCTAGAATGCCATCGCGCCCTTCAGGCGACAGATGATTAACAAAAGTTCCACCATTCGCCATTTTCGCTAATGCCCATAAGACCATCATCCTTGTTCGCTCGCTCAACTTGGTTACTCTGGTCCACTGATAAGTCCCTTCGGATATCCGTCTCATTCTTGATTATTAACACCGCTGGCGATCATTTCGTCGCCCATTATTTGCGTATCGACGATAGGAAACAAAGACATTGTCGTATCAAAAGAATCGAACCAAAGCATATTCGGTGAAATACCCAGAAAAGCGTCCGCTGAAATATCAACATCAATATCCGTTTGCTCTCCTCCCTCCATTGAAAACCGTTGCTGCTCCTCTGTCATCTCGTTCGCTAGTTGGCCCGGTCTGGGTGTTTGCGGCTGTGTTTGTATTCCATCCGTTGAACCGATTCGAGAGTTACCTTCTGATTGCTGCGAATTTCGCAATGGCGACTTCCCGATTGTGTGAATACTGCCGAAGAGACCGTTGACGAGGTGTCGTTGACGCTCCATTCGTAACCTTGCTCGGTTGTCCATGTATATGTCGCATGCGTTCTGTAAGTGATCCAAGATCATAAGATGGCGCTTCGCCACAGCGTCGTAACGACTGAAACGGTCGAGAACGCCTCTCGCCGCATGAAGGCTCTTCTCGAGCGGGAATGAGTTGTCGAAATCCCCAAAGATTGCGGCACCGAGGACGAGGCCAGAGACAAAGGCTGAATTGCCAACTATCGGTAGGCGTTTTGGTATGGTGCCAGTCCTGACGAGAGTTTGTAGCAGGTCCACTGTCCGCACTGCTGACTCGAGGCAAGAGTGGACAAGAACTTGATTTGATGACGAAGATCGCTTCGCAGTTCCTTGTGCGGACTGTTCGTTGTCTTCGACGTGTTGAGATACCGCCTTATGTAGGAATGGAAGAGACAGGAGCATGATTGTCCAATGGCCAGTCAGTTTGAGGTGTATTAGCCCAATGTTTGGCTGCTCTTCGCCATTATGGTCACGGATCAAGTCATCCTGCTCAATGCCATCAACCGCTAGACCCTCTCCACATTGTGCAGTCCACCGTCGAAGATGCTTGCTGATGCGTTCCAGTATCTCTGGAGATATCATTCTCTTTGCATAAACATCTGTAAGGATCAACTCGAAGATCATAGAGAGGTCATTGCAAGCTGAATAGTTCTGAGGGTTTGTAGTATCTCTCAACTCGGATGTTGAAGGGGGCCGACCTAATGATGCGCTCATGAATAGATCGAGAATTCGGATGCCTTTCCATAGCTGTTCTCTCGCACGGCCCTCATTGGCAGAAAAGAGGGAAGCAATGTCATGGCGATGAAGACCGATGGCATATGCAGCTCGAACTCCCATGCCGAGATACATAAAAGCCGCGTTACGACGCGATGCACCTAAGAGATACATGGCGATGAGTACAAATGCTTGAATGGTGACAATGCCCGGCTCTTCTATCAGTGTTTCCACTGTCAAGTACCGGGCATAGTTGAAGAAGGTCTCAGCGAGGTCATCTTTATCTTCTGGCCCTGTTTGCGCACCAATGGCAAAGACCAGATAGTAGACCGAACTCGCAGGGTCAGCGATATCTTGACCATCTTCAATCCACTTTCGTATGCCTTGGTCCAGTTCTGTCTGGTCGAAGAGAAGTAGCACGCAATTGGCTGATTGCATGTACCATTTTACAAGATAATCGAGTTCCTGCTCAGACTGCCGTGGCGGTGGGTTCTGGGCACTCGACAGGATCCATCCTCGCCGTGTCTCAGGCGATGCTTCGACGATACCATGTCGCAATGGGTCATCAACAAGGGTACAATCTCCTATGCTACGTCGCACAATCCTTCTGATATTCTGTAGAAAAGATAGTGTTGCAGAGTCGCCAATGAACATGTATTCACCCCTCGTATCTTGAACAAGGCGCGACATGCGTGGAAGTCTCTCGGGTTGTGTATTTGAGAGCAGCTGTAGAGAAGAAGAGGTCCCGTCATCAACATACGTCTCATCCACCGACGTCAGGCCCGATCTGTTACCGACGGTTATACTACCAGCAGGAGTGGTCTGCTCGGTGATATTACTGAGTCTATCGGGATCGGGACTTGGTAGGGATGACGCGAGGATGCGTCTTGCGCCATTGTTCGAAGCAGACTGAGACTCGTGGCACTCATGCCCGAGACCTCGCTTGATGCAGCGGGCGCAGGGTCTACGGCCATCGCATCTCTGCTTGCGACGTTTGCAGCTCTCGCAGGCCTCGGCGCATCTTCTTCTCTCGCTGTCCCGGACCCTCCTGGTAGGCATTTCGTCGTCGGTAGGTCGTGTGAGGTCCCTGGAACTGAGGGAGTGAACCGCGGGCCGCGAGCTGTCGGATATGGCCAGGTCTTTATTGGTTACTTGGCCACGAGAATGGGGTAAGATTTGGTGACATTCCCGCTGACGTAAATTGGCGCACCATTTACTATTACCGAGCTGCCGATGGAATGATCCCTGTAGCCGACCGTCACATTGAGGGGTCAACACCACTGAATTCCTGCGTGGTCTACTGAGTCAGTGCTGAGTTGGCTTGGTCACAGAGAGCAAACACGTACTCCGTAGTCTAGCATCACAACAGAAGCAATCTCTTCAATCTCTTGTGATTGAAATCGCGAAGAAATAGATTTTGAGACTGATTAATCTATATCTTATCTCAAACCCTTAACCTAGTTTGGATAGGAACTCTTGTATTTTAGAACCAACCTCATCTGCTGCCTCAATACAGTGCCAGTGACCAACCCCAGGCAAAATATGCATGCTCTTGGACGAGTCGTCGCATCCCCAACTAAAGTAAAAGTCAGCGCTAGTCATTTCAATTAATTTACCTCGCAGTAAATCAAGTACTTACTCCTTCAATATCTTTTGCGCATCCGGAATCGGGCTTGTTTTGTCCTCTTCACCAGAAAGAACAAGCACAGGGCATTTGATGTTTGCATAAGGAGGCAAGTCTGCTTGCGCAATCGCACGACACAAGGCAATGTAACCCTCGGGCTTTTGCGACAGTAACAGAGCTCGAATGAATGCTTTTTGTGTCAAAGTTGCTTTTGAGCCTGTCGCAGCGAAGGGAATAGTCTTGGCCATTGGCTCCATTCCTTCTAAACCCAATATTAATACCAGATCATACTCGCTGCACTTCAAATTGACTTGCCTTTCTTGACTGTCTCTATGCGCGTATTGAAAATCTCGGCCATCGCAGGTTTTGGCAGCACAGGGCCAATAAGCACTGACCCGCGAAGGTTGCACTTCAGGGCGAGCTTTGGTACAATGATACCGCCCATGGAATGTCCAACAGCGACGGCATTTTCGAGTCGAATACTTAGTCCTTCCAGTAAAGCCTTGACATCACTCGCGATTGTGTCAAATGTAGGATCTTCTACCGCTTCTGACAAGGCGGAAAGACCGCTGCCTATTGATCTTCAGTATTTAATTCGTGCAAACAGAATAAAGCAAATACTGACCATAGACATCCAGCGCAATTGATGAGTACCCTGCAGTCGCAAGCTGGTTCATGGCAGGTATATAAAACGAATGAGACGACCCAAGGCCATGGATGAATACCAGTACTGGGTCATCTTTTGAGGCTGTTTCAGCGTCCACTTGGGCGTAGAACAGTGTCTTATTCTGGACTTTGATGAACGGCATATTGATGAGAGATATTGGCAGACTGAATGATAGATTGGCAGCGATTGAGACGATGGGAGTATTCTCTGTTGTCGATATACTATCTTCAATCCTCGAGGTCTCTCTCAACTGCCTCATCATGTTCTAGCGCGGGTCTTTACGGCTCACATTCAGTGTCGGAAGCCGGGCGACAAGCCATCGGCAAGGGTCACAGCCGACCTCCACCACTAAAATATGGGGTCTTCACATCAAACCCAACCACTGATGACACTATCTTTCGCGCATCATGGGTCACACATCGCCAAAAAGCCCATAAATCATAGGCAGTTATCACGTCCGAACTGCCGTCGGTTTCCGCCACTCAACGAATCGAGTTGTGTCACTGTATAAAGACTCCCTCTTAACAATCAACCTTTTGTAGATGCTTCGAGTGGATGCCGCTTTTTAGCCAATAACCGATAAGTTTCTTCTGTCAAAATGGGTAGCATTAACCAGCACGATTATTCCTCGGTGGAGGAGAGTAAGAGAATCTTTGACTACCTTTGCGGTCAGTTCGATGAGGTTGCTTTTCCAGCGGCTGTGAAGGATCTCAAGGACAACATCAAGTTTACATCGACTCGAGATGCACCATACTTTCCTATTCCATTCAAGGAGACTGAGACAACTGCTGCGCTTAAGGCGGTAGAGGGTGCCGTTGCCAGTCTGCTAGCAAAGACCGTTGAAGGTGAATCACAACCGAAGAAGATCAAGGTCAACTTGGAGAAGACTACAGCCTTCCTCTGCCAGGCTTATATGGCCAAGGTTGGTGGTCTTGGAAAACTTGACCCTGGCGTCAAGGCCCTACTGAAAGGTACGTCTATACGCCACAACTATTGGCTTTCCAAGCCAAGGAACTAACGATCATAAGATACGGATTTGCTGCAGGCCCAGTCAAATCCTTACCGCCGCATGTCAGCCAACTTGTATGAGACTAAGAATGCTGGAGAGTATTATCATATTCATGGATCTTTGGAGGCTTCAACAACTCTGAAGATGATCGGTCTTGAGCCTTTCAGACCAGACTTGCAAACACATGAGAGCATCGTCGATGCTATCGAACCTGCTGTTCGACAGTTCTCGATAGACGAGCTCGAGGGCATGAATGCTGCTCGTCGACAAGCGGGTGTCCCTGCTTTGAAACACGAGGACTTTGTGAAAACTCAACATGTAAGCTGAAACTCTCATCTACGAGGACATATCTGATAAACGATCAGGGCAAAACAAACATGGCACTTCCACCATGGTCTGTCGACAACCTTGAGGCCGAGACACCCAAGTGTCCCCTAACACCAAGCTTAGAACACCCAAAGAGGATATTGTCAGGCATCAAAGTTCTTGAGCTCTGCCGTATCATTGCTGGACCTATCGTCACCCGTATTCTCGGAGAGTATGGAGCCGATGTGCTCAAGATTACAAGCCCCAATCTGAGTGACGTTCCTTTCTTCCAGGTAGATGGCAACATGGGCAAGCACGCTGCAGAGCTAGACCTGAAGTCCCCTGAGGGAAGAGCTGAGTTTGAGAAGCTTCTTGCTGAAGCGGATGTCGTCGTCGATGGATACCGACCTGGCGCTCTAGAGAAGCTTGGATATGGCTCCACTGCACTTACAAAACTTGCTAAGGAGCGTGGCAAGGGTTTTGTGTATGTCAATGAGAACTGTTTTGGCTACGAGGGAGAGTGGGCTGGACGACCTGGGTGGCAACAGATTGCCGATTGTGTAAGTGCCTTGATCTACAGCTACGAGGGAGATCGAACTAACCCGATCGATAGGTCAGTGGCATCGCTTGGGAGCAGGGTCGTTTCATGGGCTTGTCGGAACCTGTCGTCCCTCCCTTCCCTATTTCGGACTACGGAACAGGATGCATTGGTGCCATCACAGCCCTGCTGGGCCTCTATCATCGCGCCACTCGTGGTGGATCATGGCATGGAAAGGCTTCACTTCTTCACTACGACCTGCTTCTCTTCAAGGTTGGGCAATATCCTGAGGAAGTAAAGGAGAGATTGAGGAAGGATATTGGACCTGATTTCCTTGCCCTGCGACATGCGCATAGCGTGGATCAGATCTCAGGAACAGCATTATTGAGGATGCGACAGGTATTCCCTGAGCTCTTCACGGGTGATAAATACGTGGAGAAGTGGTATTCGAACGCCTATAAGGCTGAGGTGGAGGCTGTACCTCCTGTTGTGGAAATTGAGGGTCTTGAAGTTGGTTTCAAGAGAGCGAGTCGGCCTAACGGTGCTGACAAGCCAACATGGGACTTTGGCGAGGAGGCCGATCGCAAGCTGTCAAAGTAGTTTATCGCATCAAGTTTGAGCATTTACCTAGCCAATTGATACATGCATAGATCATCAAAGCGCTATCTCTCGCCACTCTAGGAAGCTCAGTCTACGTTGTCGCGTGACAAGAAGTCGTTATAATTGATGCTCTTCACTTCCGTCCCCATCATGGCGAATTTGCGACGGCTTGGCGTATTCCAGGTAACTTGCAGTGGCTACACTAGGCTTACTTCCACTAGCAGCATCGTACGACACACTAATTTTTTGGCTCCATATTCCGCGGCGTCGGAATCGGAGTCAGGGTGTCCCCTCGTCTGTACATCCGATCAAACCTGCTCCGACATCCGAAAAGCGTGTGGCACCATTCTCGCCTCTGCCGAGAGTGCTAAACGCAATCATCAGTCCCCTAATTGGTTGGGGACTTCACCCCGCAAAATGGCTGCAACATTGCCGCTTGGCCCCATGGGACACTGATGCTCACAACACGCACCCGATGTCCTTTCGGGAGATGTCCTTAGCCGCTCCTTGTTGAGGCGCTGTCTGTATATCCGAATCGAACCATACTGACTGTGAATTATGCGGGGTCAAGTCATCTGCTCGACACCATCTTTAAAACAACTCCAGTGATAAGAGGGACTTCATAAGACCTATTAGAAAGCCTCTTCTTTCATTCATCCAAGCATAAGTCCAATCCATCCTCACAGGCACTCTTCCTTCCATCCCCTCAACTCCATCAATACCCCACAAAATTCGATCAAAATGACACCATCAGCGACTGGCGGAAATGCCAACGGCGCTCCCAAGGAGGAGGGTCTCGGCCAGGCCTTCACACAGCAAGTCATCGACTCTTTCGGTCCCAAGACCGACCCTCGCCTGAAAGAGGTCATGACATCTTTCATCCAGCACATGCACGACTTTGCGCGCGAGACACAACTCACTTGCGACGAGTGGATGTCTGCTGTTAAGATGATCAACTGGGCTGGACAAATGAGCAACGACAAGAGAAATGAGGGTCAATTGATGTGCGACGTTATTGGTCTCGAGAGGTAATTCACTTGCCACAAGTGTCAATTTCATTACTAACAGCTTTTAGTCTTGTTGATGATATTACACACCGTCAAGCAGCCAAGAACGGCGTGGCCGCAACTGAGACTGCTATTCTGGGTCCTTTCTGGCGACATGATACCCCTACTCGCGAGAATGGCACCACAATTACGTTCGACACTCCCAGCGACGGTGTTGTCGCCTATCTCTACGGTACCGTGACATCAGCGGCTACTGGAAAGCCCATTCCCAATGCCTCTGTCGAGGTTTGGCAAGCATCTACCAACGGTAAGACTATATCTTCGAGATTCTTTCTTGCAGGTTCTAATTCTCCCCAGGTCTCTATGAGCAGCAGGACGAGAAGCAGGTTGAGCATAACCTCCGTGGCAAGTTCATCACCGACGACCAGGGCCGTTACTCCTTCTACTGCCTGCGACCTACTCCTTATCCCGTAAGAAATCTTGCCCTCTTAAAAGTCCAAGGATCTATAATCTAACACTTTCTCAAGGTTCCTGATGATGGCCCTGCTGGTCAGCTTCTCCACCTCCTCGACCGCCACCCTTTCCGCCCTGCTCATCTGCACTTTATGGTATGTTCAACTGAAACCCCCAGAAACGGTCAAGGGTCTAATCTAACATGTTGCAGGTCATTGCTGAGGGCCACAAGTCTGTTGTTACTCAGATCTTCGATTCTGATTCGGGATATCTCGAGAACGACAGTGTCTTCGCTGTTAAGGATGGCCTAACAGTGAAGTTTGTGCCACGAAAAGGGGATCCCAAGGCTGAGTGGGAGTTGGAGTACAACATGAGCCTGTCAAATGATTCATAGAGCAGTAGCATTTGCTTTTTTTACAGTCATAGCGAATTTCATTGGGTTTCTTTCAACCATCATTCCTGATGATTTGTTGAGACATACAGTGACAGCTTCTAGTCATGTGTGCAAGTATTATTCAACTGGTTTTTGGCTAACACCAACGCATCTCTTTTGTACATCGAACTCGGCATATTGAACCTCCTTGCAAAAAGCTCAACTCGCTACCCTCAAATTTATTGAGTGGGGCTGAGAACGGACTGTCTTCTATCGCACCTCATCTACAGCTCAGTCTCATACAATGACCTAGAGCTTCAATACCATTGGAGGCAGATAGTTTTCAGTAAGTAAAGTTGGTAGATAGTACTATTCTGGCAGTAATCTAAAACTTTATCTCGAGCTCCTCGAAATATCCTTAAATTAGCCACATGAACTTTCAGCCTTGTTTCCATGAGCGTATAGTTCAACAATAACTAGACAGCGTTCTATAGTTTCCTACCAACGTTGAAGCTCTCGACTAGAAAAGAAAGAAAACCATTTTCTGGTTTTGACATTTTGTTTATGGAATCATGGAGACCAATCGTTACAAAGAGCAAACTTAAGTCGGAATCAAACATGAGATATAGTTGGCCTTTGTTGAGCAAACATGTTGTCCCTGGAATTTGGTTGACTCTATAATGTTTTCCTCGATGCAGATTGCGCCATATTGCAGCTTGCTTTTCAGCTATATTAGTTATGCAGGCAGTGTATCTTCGGCCAGAATGCCAACAATCCAAGGTTTTACGCATGTTGTCGAACCAATTTGACTGGGAGGTATAATCCACCGGTCCTTAGGACAATAACTGGACATGTTCCCAACATGAGCAAGATGACGATTTTGCAAGCTAGTTTATGACTTTCAGGGCGCAGCATTACAATTCTGAGCATAAGAAAGCTGTTGATCCGCGGCAAATCTTTGACATTACTAGGAACATGCAGTCTTGGCAATCTGCCTATTTCACTGCGCAATCCAATAACAGGTAGGTTTGACGATGTAATGTCGTTGGTAGCGCGGCTATGTTTTCCCGTACAGACTGAGTTTCCAATCCTTGACAAGCAGCATGTGATGCTCATGGTCGATTCGAAGCCTCCACTTTGAGAACCTTGATAAAAACTTCAGTTTCACTCTATTTGAGCTCTGGAGCTTTTGCAACCTTGCAACTTTTTTTGTTCGTTCTGTGACTTGAAATAGGGTAGGTACCCTAGGCCGTGACTAAAGTTTCCATGACTTTGTACCCCGCAATCCACCAATTTGAGTGCAAACTATCCCCAATAATGACAAATAACGTAATGTTAATGGTGTTTTGATGCAACTAGATAATAATACCCCGGATGTTTTTGGAAGGCGTGTCACTTCGGTGAAGCAGACCGGAAGACATCGGTCTGGGGTAGCAGATGATTGGTACGTACATCCGACACGTGACCGGTTGCCGGTATATCGTCCGACCCACCGCCGGCAGCGAATCCGGAGATAAGCGCGGCTAAATATGATTCGCTGGGCACAAGATATTCCGCTCCTAGATAAGGATCTCAACGCGACGTGGCCAATGAGGATAACCTTGTTGGCAATGCGCGGTCCACGTTTCTTGGCTTACGATATAATAATACACCCAACACAAAAAAGGGAGACACTTTTCAAGAACTGACATTTGAAGAAAGACTTTCTCGCCTCTTCAAAACCTGCAATGAGTCGCGCAGGGATTAAGCAGCTTTCGCTGCTTCGGGCGTCGAGACAGTGTCTATCTCCCCGGTCCCTTGCTACCGTTGTAAGGGGGCCTGTCGCTCGCTCGACACCGCCATCAGCAACTTTGTTGGGACGCCAGCGATATCGACTTTTCAGCACAACACGGCCACGAAGAACTCGGGATGAGCAGGATGAAGATGCGGGTTCGTACAGCGAAGCTGATCACGAACATGCTGTCATTTCCACTTTCGATCTGTTTTCTATCGGCATTGGCCCCTCATCTTCTCATACTGTTGGACCAATGCGTGCTGGTAACATTTTTGTCAACGATTTGATCGATGCCAATCTGCTTCAAAAAGTCAACAAAATCCGCGTCGCCATCTATGGTAGTCTTGCCCTTACGGGCGAAGGTCATATGACTCCTTCAGCCCTACTCCTTGGTCTCGAAGGCGCCGATGTCGAAACGGTCGACACAGGCTACGTGCCCAGCCGCTTCGAAGAGATCAAGTCCAGCAAGAAGATTTTCCTAGCACGTGGGCTGGCCGCAGATGGATCCAAAGGCAAGGAGATTGATTTCGACTACGAGAAGGAATTCATTTGGGAATGGGGTCGTAAGCTTCCCCAACACAGCAACGGCATGCGCTTCACTGTCTACGACAAAGAAGGCTACGTCCTAGCCACCAACGACATGTTCAGTGTAGGCGGCGGCTTCGTTGTCAACGGTGCTCTTAGTATCGCACCCCAGGAAACCCTCTCCGCCAACGCCCCCGCTCAGCTTGAAGTCGGAGATTCGGACACGGCAGCTCACCCGGCTGATTTGGCCGAAAACATGTACTACAAGGAAATCCGGCGCTCAGATGCCGCGGGAGATCGACGAACCGGCACCGAAGTCAAGGCCCTTGAGGAAGCCAATGAAGGCCCGACAGCTCTCCTCGGGGACTCGCCTGAGCCAACCGGCCTCTCTACCGATGTCAAGTCCGAGACCAAGGATACCAGCTCATCGCCGCATCCGCGGTATCCATTCCGAGATGCCGCTAGTCTGCTTTCACTCTGTCGCAAACACAATCTCACCATCGCGCAATTGGTGTATGAGAATGAGAAGAGTCTAGGATATACGGATGAGGACATTTATCGAAAGATATTTAAGATCTGGGGAGTCATGGATGCTAGTATTCTGGAAAGTGTCCAGGCTCCAACAGGCTCCAAGCTTCCTGGATCTCTCAAGCTGCATCGACGAGCGCCGGCGCTCTACCGCCGATTGACTCGAGGGTTGTATCCCTCGTCGACTGCTGATACTTCAGCTGCTCAGCTTGAGCACAAGTTCTCTTCGTCTGACGCCAACATCAATGAGGATGGCGCCACCTCATCACCGAAAGCTCTGGCTGCAGCTTCATCTCAGTTAGTGCCAGAGAAGCTCAAGACTGGTGGCCTTCGGAAGCGCGGTCCGCCACGGATCCACGGTTCTCTGGATCACCCTATCGCTCCAGCTCCTTCACGCCGGACGACATTCCCCACCATGGATTACCTGTCTGTCTATGCTATTGCTGTCAATGAAACCAATGCTGGCGGCGGTCGAATCGTCACTGCTCCTACCAACGGCGCCGCAGGCATTATTCCAGCTGTGCTCAAGTACACTACAGAGTTCATCAGCGACGACCCTGAGCGAGATATCCCCACGTTCCTTCTCACTGCTGCCGCAATCGGCATGCTTTACAAGCGAGGTGCCACCATCTCAGCCGCCGAAGGAGGATGCATGGCGGAGGTCGGCGTTGCCTGCTCCATGGCTGCTGGCGCTTTCGCTGCTTGCATGGGAGCCAGCCCTGAAACAATCGAGCAAGCTGCAGAAATCGGCATTGAACACAACCTCGGATTGACATGTGATCCCATCGGCGGACTCGTCCAAGCTCCCTGCATTGAGAGAAACGCGCTGGGCGCGACAAAGGCCATCTCCAGCGCCAATCTGGCGCTTAGCAGTGAAACAGGCACGCAGCGCGTGAGGCTGGACGACGCTATCCGGGCGATGCGACTGACGGCCAAGGGTATGAGGAACGAGTTCAAGGAAACGAGTTTGAGTGGATTGGCCACGAGCGTTCACATTAATATTCCAGTCAGTGTTCCTGACTGCTAGACATGGTGTTATTTTGTATCCAGCGATAATTATCAACAAAAAAAGGGAGTCATCAGCGGCGTAGACATTGCTTTCTAGATTAGAAGTTTCACTCTTTGCATTGCTAGCTGAGTAAGAATATCATTCTGCTTGGTGGGTATCACGTGCTGAAAGATAGATGCTCGTAGTTCGTGTGGAGAATCGGTGAGACGAATTGTCACCCTTGATTATTCTTGATTTATCACAGATGTCATGGAAGACCACCAGAGCCCCTCAACTATGTCTCACGAACACTGTCCATGTTGTTTCAATTTCGATCCAGACTTGGTAGCACCAGGTTCCAATAATGATGTCAGAGTTGACTCAAAGGAGCTTGTAGTATTGGTGCTTCGAGACATCATACAGTTCGAGAGCGCGGCGATTTCAGGTTGTGACTGTTGTGCATTCATTTTCAAGGCTCTAACATCTTCGGATTTGTTGGGGACTGAGAATCAGATGGGAATTCAGCTTTACCTTCGACTTCCGATTGGACGAGGAAATCCAGAGATATTATTCGGCGATCCTGAGCGCTCGCAAATGTTCTTACAATTCTATACTGACTATGGTATGGATTGTCCAAGCCTATAAAGACCCATAAGGTTGTACTAACAAACATATCCAGCTCAAGGAAAGACTTGGAAACGAGTCAATCCTTTGCCAGACATTTGTGACGACCATTTATCGCGCGAAGGCTTAAGCTTCGTCAACGCTTGTTTCTATAACTGTATCAATGACCATAAGCTCTGCAAGCAAGACAATTCTACTTTACCAACCCGTATTTTAGATATAGGGAGCGCTGGGGATGACAAAATTTATCTCGTTGAATCAGAGGCCCTCAAGCCTGAGAAATATGTCGCACTCAGCTACTGCTGGGGCAGAAATCCATCTATCAAAGCCTTGACGGGAAATATGGAAAACATGAAGAGCGGAATCGGACTTGAGGAACTTCCAGCAGCTTACACTGACGCAATCGCACTGACTCGAGAGCTCGGGGTGAGATATTTGTGGATAGATGCACTTTGCATCATTCAAGACTCTGAAGCCGACTGGGAAAGAGAATGCTCTAGGATGGCTGACACATACGCCAATGCTTTCTTGACGATTGCAGCCTCGTCATCAACATCTGTGACCAGTCACTTTCTACGGCCTCAGCTAAAGCCACCACCTCGAGCGGCCCAGGACCAATGCGCGATCTGCAGCGAATCAATGAGAAGCGAAAGGGGGCCTCCGATTTTACTGAAAGTAAGGCTCATGCAAGCAACCGGTGCTCATTGGAAGTGGAGACCATCTCACAGTACGGATCAACAGCCGCTCGTGGAACCTCTCACTCAACGAGGCTGGACGTTGCAGGAGAAGGTCCTATCAACCCGGCTACTGTCTATATCCGCGATGGAGATGGCTTGGACTTGCAAAGAGGCAATATTCTGCGAATGCGGATCGAAGCTGAATCACCAGCGGGAATTTGGGGGAACGCCATTGAGTCAAATATCGCGACATAGTGAAGCCTTCAATTTCTGGCACAAAGTTGTTGAGAATTACTCCAAGAGAAACCTCACGCAGGCCGGCGATAAGCTCCCAGCAATATCTGCTATAGCCGCTATAGTCCAGAAGAAGATCGGGTCAGATTACGTGGCTGGTCTATGGACTGATAACATTGATCTGGATCTGTTGTGGCGGAGGCCATCAGCCAGTAGGATTCAAGCTGCCAACTCATCTTACATCGCCCCGAGCTTTAGTTGGGCTTCAATCACGGGAGAGGTCGATTACCTGTGTTTTAGAAACGGAAAATGGCCATATGAGAAGGCAGCTACAGTGATGGACGTCAATGCAGCAACAGGTCCTGACGCGCCACTTGGAAGAGTCACCAGCAGCAAGATGATAATCAACGGGCCATTGGCGATGGGGTATCTCGAGAGTCGGGGCCCGTACGATTGGTACGCGGTGCGTATTGGGCGGGCTCTTCTGTGGTTTTCCGCAGATACGAGCCTCTCAACAATTGTAAACGGCAGTGAAGTCTCAGTGTGCAGAAGAAGCCGTGAGCACAAGGGAAGCGACGTAGCGGCGGAGCTGAAGCGGCTAAACCGAAAGCGGAGTTCTGGGGATACACACCACCTGACCGAGCCCACCACGGGGAATACAGCGATTCGATGCTGGGTGCTGAGACTTGGGGCATTTCCGTTCGGGGATAAGGGGCAAAGGGATCACGAGTGGCTAGTGCTGGGGCGGTCAGCGACACAGCCTGAGCTATTTGAGAGGGTCGGACTAGGGTCGCTGAAGGATAGTCAAGAGGCGGAGGTTCTCGAGTTGGAGACGATAACGACAGTTACGATAGTCTGAGTTAGTACTAGAATGCAAGCCTCATTTTGACTAGTTGCGCTGAATGGACCAGGTAGCTGACGATCATTCGACCGCCACGGCGTACGTGACAGTTATCACGATTGTGGGTCATTCATTGCATTGATTAGTATATCCTTGTAGTGCATGGACAGGGGAGGCTAGGAGGAAAAGGAGCCAAGTGCCTACTACCTCATGGTAGAGTGCGAGTGCCAAGCAAGGGCGATGATGGATGGTGGGCCATAATTGATCGAATTGTCAGCCACCGGCTTACATTCCCCAAATTACTAGAGCTGAGACTAAGGTGACGCCACTGCACTGGAACGAAAAGGGCAGATAGATGAGAGGGGGGACAAAGAAAGATGATGAGTGAGTGACCGTGTCCTTTGCGTTTTGGGTTTGCGTCTATACGCGGTAATGAGATAATTACAGGGGCCCCCAAGACATGATGACACTCAGCAAACAGCTGGAGATTAGCTACCTAGACCCACGCCGCCCTTAGTGACTCGTGAGAACCTCTGGACTGGTCTGATCAGGCCTAAAACTCATGTCTCAGCGCAAATCGTGCGGGGTCAGAGAGCGAATGTGTAACATTTCGAGTGTTTGCCATTGGTTGCGTCGCAAATACGTTTGCTTTTTGGCCAGAATCTGGTTCTGCTTAGGTTTGCCGGGCACTAAATCCATGACTGTATGTACTGCACCGTCGACGGTTAGTGCAGGCAAGCCTAACCTAGCCGTACCGCTTTCACGGGCCAGCTCCATTCATTCTGTTTGTACTGATCAGTGATGCATTCAATGTGATGACGGACGGTTACACATAATTTCTCTCGCGATTTTTCCTTGCAAAGAGATATTCTATTGTCCTCCCAACCTTTTTCCCTTTCGTCTCTTCTGTTTTTATGTTTTCGGTCTGCATTGACCTTTATTTTTTTTTTGTTAATGGTTTTATTTTAAATTATCTTTCGGCGTGTCTTGGTTCATTTCATCCACTTTTTCTTTTAGAGTTCTCCTTTTTAGCGCAATACACTACCAGCCATGGCGGCAGGCTCTCGGGCCCAATCAGCTGGATTGGCCTGGCTTGAACAGTGTCAGGCCTTGTTGGAAGCCAGTAAAGCCAGTTGGCCCGCCATGCCGATACTGATCAAACCTCGTCGACTGCAAGAACTCGAGGCAAAAAGTGACGAGTTGCATCAAGAGCTTGGAGAAGTCGACTCGGACGACGAGGACAGCGAGGCCCAGCGCCAAGCAAAACAAGAGTCGTTGGTAGCTCTCGAGCGTGAGTTAAGACCGCTTAAGACGGACTGGGACCGCACGTGCAGGGATGCTCATGTGGCGTACCGCCCCGAAGACGAGATGAAAGCAAATTCTCTCATGAACAACCTCTTCAACCTCTATAAAGATTTCGGCCTCCCCATCAACGGCAACATGGCCGTCGACACCTCGGCCCTAGGTCTCCCTGGAGATTCGCCTGATGCTGATCCGGACACACCGCGCAGGCCGCGAATGCGAGTGAAGAGGGGAGGGGCGGTGCTCACCCCAGATCGTAATGGAGTTTTTGAGGTCCGATTCCCTTTCATCGCTGTTTTTGCCTTGCTTTGCTTACGCGCCCTCACCCTCATCGTATCCTCTCTCTCTCTCTCTCTCTCTCTCATTTTTTGCTAACATCGCCCTCGTCTCACAGTCAGACACGCGTAAGAGGAAGCGAGGCCGCAGCTCCGCCATTTCTCAAAAGCGACCGCGCATTCAAGGCAACAGAAATTCCATACATTTCAATGCCGTCTACCAAAACAGACGCGCCGCCAAGAAGCACACCATTATCCGGATCCCCGAGGACGAGGATCCTGTGCGCCCGGCCAAGTTTTACATCTTACGATGTGAGCATCACGACATCGACTTTAACGACAATCCTTTACAGGCAGGTTTGGCGCATTTATCAGAAGCCCATCAGGATGAGAACCCTTCATTTGAGACTGTTGTCCAGCACTTTGGTTATGAGCTTATTGGCTGCGACGATGAAAAACTCATTCAAAACAACAAAGTCGCCACGGAATCCTTTCAAAAAGGTGAAAGAGGCGCGCGTGACTTTATTCGCGTTACTGATTCGCCTTCACCCAACACATCGCGCAAGAAAACTAGCAACGCCGCGAAGAAGGGCAGGTCAAGTCGCAAGTCCCGGAACACCATTAACCCCCGCGACTTGGTTCCTGGAGATGTCTACATAATCTACTGGTCCTCATCGAAACAGTGGTATTGTGGTCTGCATATTCCTTTGCAAGATCCCGAATCCGTTGGCATAGACGAATCCCTTGAGGCGTTGGGCCTACTTAACAACATACCGCCTTGTTATGAGTACGACAGCTCCAGCAAGTCTTTCTCCTGGGCAGAGGGTTATGAAGATGGAGGGGAGGACGCTTCGGAACAGCAATTTCCGTTCATGTTCTTTGAGGGACTTGATTTTCCTGACCTGTGCCATGTTGCTTGGATTCCTCTCGACGAAATCCAGCCTTGGGATGAGGAGAAGGCGTTGATGATTGAGCACAGTGACCAGGCTTTTGAATATATCAAGCGGCGGGAGGCAGTTCAACAGCCCAAGCGGTTGGGTCCAAATGATGAGATTCCAGATTCCGCTGATGATAGTAAGTATCTTGACTGTTTGCGAGGTAAGGTTTCTGACATAGCCTTTCTGTAGACTCCACGTCCGATCTTGCGCCTCGGTCACCAGTTGCAGAGTCCTCGACAGATTTCCAACCTGCTCAGAACGCCGGGACCGTTACACCTAACACAGCCCTAGAAGCTGATGCCGCTGATGAGGCTAAAATCGCAGACGTGACTGGGCTGACTGGAGAAACGCTGAAGGACACCAAAGGAACAACCGAAGAAGAGCAGAACATTCAACCAGAGCCTGAAGCGCAAAAGGACACGGAAGCAGCACCCGTAGAAGAGCGGGAGATTCTGGCAGAGCCTGAAGAAGCACAAAGCACCCATATGGAAACCGAAGAAGCGCAGGACACTGGACTAGAGTCCGAAGAAGAGCAGGATATTCTAACAGAGCCTGAAGAAATACAGAATGACACCACATTGAAATCTGGAGAAGTGCAGAATGACGCCACGCTGGAACCTGGAGAAGTGCAGAAGGATACCCAGATGGAAGTTGAAGAAGCGCAGGAAACTGGACCAGAACCTGATAAAGTCGCCGAGTCACCCGTACAACCCGTTGTAGTCGAAGACGAAGATATCGCCATGAGTTTAGAGGAAAGCTCTACCGAGAGTACTGCTCAACAGCCAACCGAGGACAGCGAGGATATTGTGATGGAAACTCCAGAAGATGCAACACCGGAACCTCTGCAGCAGAATGACTCTCAGTCTGATGGAGCCGATCAGGAGATTGTTTTTGATACTCAGGAAGATCCAGCCGAAAACGTCTCCTCCCCAAAGGAACCAAAGGAAGTCACCGCGGAACGAGAGCAGGAAAGCTCATCAGACGAAGCAAGAGAAGAACGTTTACCCAGTGTCGATTTAGAGGATCTCCTAACTGCAGGCGAGGATCTGGAGTTCCAGTTTTCACAGTCTGAACAGAGAGAACTCGGTCAAAGGTCGGCACCTCCACCTTCCCGTGAGGCAGTTAGTCTTTCGAACGCACCAAATGACGTTGTCAACACGAAACAGGAAGAAAGCTTGCCTGCCTCGCCTACTCCCGAGACAACCAATGTTAGTCGTATGGAAACGGACTCTGGAGATGAGACACGGGAAGCCAGTCAAGCTCAGCGCTCTTCTGTCGCTACTGAAGAATCTTCAAACGATGAAACTCCACGGCCACGCCTCTCGTACGCTGAAATGGGTCGAGCTTCTTCTTTATCTGAGGGTGTACCAAGCGATGTTGTTGAGTCAAGGCCGCAAATTCAACCTGCTTCGAGACGGGCTCGTTCAGGGACACCGAATCGCAACGCACTCGCTGCCCAGTCACGAATGTCATCGCTATCAAAGTCGCCTGTTGTATCTCGACCACCTGCAATGTCGCCCCCAGCGACAATACCGTTCTCACCCACAGCGCCGTCTGCTTCGACTCCTTTACAGCTGCCTAGGATGTCACAGCCTCCGCCTTCTTCTCAGTCATCAGTCATACGATCACCAACATCGCAACGCCCGCCTTCAGGGTTACAGCACCCAGTCTCATCATGGCCGCTGGATAACTCTTGGGCATCAACGACACCACAGCGCTTAGGGTCATCACAATCATCAGCTCTTGCGCGTCGGCCTGCACCATCTCAGCCAACGGCAGCCTCGCAACCGCCGCAATCATCACAGCCTCCGGCCAGGCCCTCGGCATTATCCCACCCGACTTCATCATCTCAACAATCGCCTTCGGGGCCACCGCTCCGTGCTCCAATAGCGCAAATGGGGCCCGCAGCGCAAGTAGCAATGTCTCCTGGACCTGCTGTGTCTAACGGCGAACAGCCACACAATGTACGGCCGACATCGCAGACATCGCAGGTCCTGGCACCTCCCCGCCACTCACAAGTAGAGAGTCCACTACCAGAAGATGCTCAGAATCGGTCTGAAGTCTTGAGGCATCCTCATGCAGCTCAGCCCAGGGCGTCTGCGCAGGCTCTGGGAAACAGTCCCGGATCTAAAGAACCTCTACGTGCGATAAAGCCCAAGGCACCATCTAAGCCCACAGTTGAGATTGTCTTGCTTAACCGTCAAGCAGTCAATGAAGCGCGGTTACAGTCCATGACAACTGGACAGCCAGCAGCAGCAGTAGCCAGTCCTACACAGATGCCAGCAGCTCATGAAAGACGTTCAGAACCTGCACATATAACGCCAACGCCGCCAGTTATGTCTGCTGCCAGACCTATAGCCCCAGCTGCGCGCCGCCCGCTGCCTCACGAGAGACCATCACCTAGACCTTCTGCTTCACCCGTAAAGAGCCGCGAGGCCCCCAAGGCCAAGTCATCACAAAACCAGGTCCCCAGTGCTTCTTCTCAACATTCTTCTGGGGCAGA